GGAGGGTGCCTGTCACGCGCGTCGGGCGGCTGGCGAGCGTCGGAGGTAAGGGCCCGAGACTCCCCCCCAGCCTGCGCTCCCCCTCCCGCGGCGCGGCCTCCCAGCCAGCCCCGGAGTCGCCGGGTCGGCGGCGCTGAATCCGCCAGCCGGCAGGAGCGGGCGGCGCGTCCCTCCCGGCCGGCCCCTGCGGTTCCCGTTGCGCCCGATCCTGAAGCCCAGCCTCCCGCGGGGCTCGCTCAGGCGTCGCGCGCAAGCAGGCAGCCTCCCTCGCACAGGAGGACGGCGTGAAGTGACGTCCGAGGCGGGTTGCTGGCCTTCTGCCCGCGCCCGCCCTCGCGTGCAGCCCGAACGCCGCTCCTCCCCTAAGAATCCAAACGCCAGAATGGAGGCGATACAGAGAACCTTTGGGAAAGGTGGATTTGTTGTGACAACGCAACTGAAAGGTGCTTCACGCTCCCCTGGAGTGGTACACCGCACAATTTGCTGCTTTAAGGTAACCCTAACCTGGCTGTGGGCATCTGCGGGCAAAGTGCATCGTGGTGGCTAAGCCCTGAGATGCCTTGAACAAGCGTGGTGGGCGCTGGATTCCTTGACTTTGGCTGCAGCGCCCAACGTTTGCACCCTTTTGGTCACGCCTGCCCTGCGGCCCCCTGTCTCACACAGCCCTTTCCTTCCAGGTCTGGCCGTGGGCTTGGGGTTTGGGGCCTTGGCTGAAGTGGTGAGGAATTCTCTGAACGGGGACCCAAACGCCAAGGGTAAGAGAGGGTCTGCGCCTGAGTACTCCTTGGGTGTGGCTTGTATGGCTTTCACGGAGGGGGTGGTTTGAAAGATTGAGTGGTTTTCAAAAGGGGAATATGTTAGACTCGGTCCAGAAAGGGGAGTGGAGGGCCCGTGTCTTCCTTAGACGTTTGCGTGCATCTAGGGATTCTGGAGCACTGCAAGAGTTTCAAAAATTAAAAACTCAAAGAAGTGGAAAAGGAAAAGCAGCTTCATATGCGAATGCGCCACCCCACGCCACCAGCGAAAGCCTCCCCGATGTGGAGAAGGGCTGTCGCCCTTTAATGCTGGGCTCCCCTTTCTCCAAGGAGCTTAGGACAACATAGATGGTCACTTTTTCCCGTCACCGCAGCCCATGGGGTAGGTCAGTCTTGCTGACCAAATTCTTGATGGGAAGACTGCCTTCTATATTTATCCTTGTGGCCCCCCCTTTTCAGCGAATCTCCTCAGCCAAGCATAGAGAGCAGCCCCTCTGACAGGGTGCCAACAAAGGCTTCTGCCCTGCCAGGGTATTGCAGTGGGGTAAGGGGAGGTGAGCTTGGCTCCACATTCCTTTCCTCTCTTCTGTTCTCTCTGCAGACCGTGGCTTCCTGGAGTCCAACCCCTTCCTTTCGGAAGCCAACGTAGAGCGGATTGTCGATACTCTCTGCAAGATGCGCGGGGCAGCTCTCAAGATTGGCCAGATGCTAAGCATCCAAGGTACAGATGGCACTCCTTTGCTCGCTCTTCAGCGGCTTTTTGGAGCAGTTGCGTCTGAGCTGGCCCAGGCCCCACAGCCCCAGAAGCGCTGTCCCAGCGTGGCACTCCTCCCACAGACGTTTCTCATGCAGGAGAGGTGGTAGCCCGTCTTCAGTGGCCAAGCGAACGTCAACAGAATGTGCGGTTATTGTTTTCCTGTCACTTCATATTTTAGCAAACTGCGTTTCTTGCCATCTCTTACAAGCTGAGGTTTTGCAGAAGGTGGATTTTATTGAGACCAGCCCCCAGTAACCATCTGTTCTCCCCACAGACAGCTACTTCCTCAGCCCCCAGCTGCAGCAGGTCTTTGAGCGAGTCCGGCAGAGTGCAGATTTCATGCCGCCCTCTCAGATGATGGTGTGTTGCTGACGGGGGGCAGGTGTTCAGTTTTAAGCCCCATGAAAGTTCCAAGTGGTGGGACAGGATGGAGGGCAGCAGCAGCTAGAATCTGGCGGCCTTGAGGATCTATACAAGACGGGGGTCTACCTGAGCAACCGTTGATGTAGCTGTTTGCCCTTGCCGGGCTGGCCTTCAGCCACCTGAACCTGCTCTGTGGGATTCTTTGCTTCCAGGGGGTTCTTTCGGAGGAACTGGGCACTGACTGGCGTGAGCGCGTGGCCTCCTTTGATGAAATGCCTTTTGCTGCTGCCTCTGTTGGGCAGGTGCATCTTGGGGTGCTGAAGGACGGGATGGAGGTGGCAATGAAGATCCAGGTAGGTGAAGATGTGGGAACCAGGGAAGGATGTCCTGTCCTCCAGCAGCTCTAACACCACCTCTGCCTCCAACCCTAACCCTTACAGTATCCTGGCATCGCCCATAGCATCCGGAGCGACGTGGACAACCTTCTGTCAGTACTCAAGATGAGCACGATGCTTCCGGCAGGTAAGGGGGGAAAGCCCAGTTTGTGATACACCTCTCCGTTTCTTGGGTGTCTGGCTGCCGAGAGAACTGGGGTCTTGGGGGGAGGCAGAACTCCCAGGAACCACCTTCTCAGCTCAGCTGTGGTCCTGCCACATCCATATCCCTAAGAAGAGTAGCTGAAGAAGATGCTTGCTTTTGTTGATGAGGAGCCAGGAAGGCCTGAGGCTCCATCTTGCGGGGAGCCAGTCTTGGAGCCAGAAGAAAGAGCAGGTGTGGGAAGCAGGAACAGGAAGGGCAGAAGAGGGGGCTCCTTGTGGAACAAAGCAGAGGTGTGGAACTGGGTGGGCCCTTTGCTCTTCTCTTTGGCAGGCCTGTTCGCGGACAACACTCTGCAGGTCCTGCAAAAGGAGCTAGAGCGGGAGTGTGACTACGAGCGGGAGGCCAGCAGCGCCAAGAGGTTCAGGTACCCAGTAGCCAATCCCTGGCAGGGGGTAGTCCTTGGGCCAGCTGCCTTGTGGCTCCTCTCTTGAACTGGGCACCCAGTTGAAGAGAGGCTCTTGTGTGAGGCCCAGTTCCCTGACCTTCTCCTCGTCCCTCAGGAGCTGTCCTCCAGCAGGCTCCCCAGTCCTGCAGGGAGTGGCGTATGGGGTGGGGCTCTTCCCCAGCAGGTATCCCCAACAGGGCTCTCGTTCCCCAGGCAGCTTCTGGAAGGCGACCCTTTCTTTGAGGTGCCGGAGGTGGTTGACGAGCTGTCCACCAAGCGGGTGCTGTCTATGGAGCTGGTGGGGGGCGTCCCGCTGGACCAGTGCCAAGAATTGGACCAAACGACTCGCAATGAGGTGAGGGCTGCTGTCTAGGGAGCCAAATGAACAGTGGATTTTTGCCAGAGCAGGGAACAGCAAAATCTCCCCGCCTTCTAGGAATCTCCCCTTGAGGTAGCTAATGCCTGCTACCATTAAAGCTCCTACCCCCGAGGCCCTGCAGGTCTGACCAGCTGGCTGCCTTTCTTCCTTGCCTCAGATCTGTTCGCACATCCTCCGACTTTGCTTCCGTGAGCTCTTTGAATTCCAGTTCATGCAGACGGACCCAAACTGGTCTAACTTTTTCTATGACGCTGAGAGACACAAGGTGAGAGTTCCCTAAATTCCCAGCCAGGCTGTGGGGGGCTGCTGCCCTTCTTGTGGGGGAAGGACTCTGTTATTGCCTGTGGCCCTTAGCACCGCCTTCCTTGCAGGTTACTCTGCTGGACTTTGGAGCTAGCCGAGATTTTAGCAAGGAGTTCACCAACCACTACATTGAGGCAAGTCCTGAGTTTCTGCCCCGTCTGCAGGCAGGGCAGGCCCCCTGGCTGGGAGAAGCTTCCATGCAAGTCTCCTTCCCAGGTTCCCTTCCCCCCATTCATGGGGCAGAGGGGAAAGGAGCCCCCCCGTGGGTCTGCCTTCCCTGTGCCCATCCTCCCCAATCTCCCTCTTTGGTTCAAGAGCTGGAGGTGGGCGATGGAGGTGTCCTTTCAGAGGAGGGCAGCCAAGGACCGCCTGGCAGTGGGAAGGGGCTGCGTCAGTGGGCCTGCTGTCTGCCAGGGGAGTCCTGAGGCAAGAAGGAGAGCCTGAAGGCTTGCACTCTGGGCCCAGGTGGTGAGAGCAGCTGCCGATGGCAACAGAGAGAAAGTGCTTCAGAAATCGAAGGACCTCAGATTCCTGACTGGATTTGAAAGCAAGGTGAGCCTGAAAGGAAAGGAAAGCCTGGTTTAAAAAGGGCTTCTGGGGTGCAGGGAGAGTAGCAGTGTTACCCCCTCAATGGACCCGAGGAACCTGCTTGCTTGCTCTGGTTGGTGCAAGGCTCGGGCCTCACCCCCCACACACTTTGGGAAGGTGGGGGGCTGCACAACAGGGACTGCAGCTGGACTCTCCCCTCCTCCAGGTCTTTGAGGAGGCCCACATTGACGCAGTGATGATCCTGGGCAAGGTCTTCTCGGCCCCAGGGCCTTTTGACTTCAGCGCCCAGGACACATCCCGCTGCATCCAGGACTTGATCCCCGTGATGCTGAAGCACCGCCTGTGCCCCCCGCCGGAGGAGAGCTACTCCTTGCACCGCAAGATGGCGGGCTCCTTCCTCCTTTGCACCCGTCTTGCTGCTGCAGTCCCCTGCCGGGAGATCTTCGAAGAGGCCTACAGGCAGTACACAGGCCGGGAACAAGCCGCCAGTTTGGCAGAGGCTGTGAAGCACACAGGAGCGGGGGGAGACCCCTTCTAGACTGGGGTGCAGGATCTCCAGTTGTTCACAAGACCTTGCTGCCTTGGCACTCAGGGCCACCTGCACCAGAGTGGGCCACTGTTCACGCCTAAATCCTTGAGGCCTGAGAGGTCACCTCACTGCAAGGGGTCAAGAGAAGAGGCTTGATCCCTGTCCCCCTCCCTGGGCCAGAAACCTGCCTCTAGCACCTCTGCCTTCCTCCCCAAGGAAATCCCCCTGCTTCAGGCTACAGGGGCCTAAGGCAAGGCCAGCCCTCAGCCACATTTCCACGAGGAAGAGTACCGTGGCAGCTTGGAGATCAGGAGCACCAGCAGCATACTGGGATATGGGGGTATTGGTCACAGGGGGAAAAGGGCACCCTGACTCCTGCTTTGCAGAGGGAGGTAAAGGGTCCAGTGAAGAGGGTCAGGCCCAGTGACTTGTCAAGTCTGTGCATCACGCAGGCTTTGATAACCTACTGCCCTCCAGGTGGGTTGGGATATTGCTCCCATCATCCCCAGCCAGCAGGGGCCACACTTCTAGAGGAGCTCTGCAGGAGACCAGAGCTGAGCTGGCTACCCCACCCAAGGGTGGAGGGGCAGATGGCTCCCCACTTGCAACAGGCAAGGAGGTGGGGTGGGGTGGCGTGGTGGGCCCTTGGC